TTGGCTGCTGTTGTGAGCCCTCTCCTCAGCAGCTCTGTGTGACACCGTTTGTGTCCTGTAGCTGTCAGTGCTCCTCCACCTCACAGCTTCCTCAGGGTCTGGGACACACCTGGGTGCACTTGGGTCCTGCAGCTAAAAACCCCAACCACCCACTTCAGAAACAAACTTCCAGTAGAACCAGTTAAAGTACCAACAATTCCAGTCATCACCTAAAATACTCAAAACAACTGCAGTAGAATAATTTCTCCAATTTCTCTGCCAGCAATTCAATACTAGCTGTCCATTTTCTTTTTGAATATTTACAGGAACCTGAAATATTTGTATCTGAGTGACCTTCCTGGGATCAGAGAGAAAGAAAAAACCTTCCGTGTCCTTCAGCAGGCACTGCCCAAGCTGGAGCTGGAGCTGGATTTGGAATAAACACAGCAGCACCTAACTGAGATGTGATTCCCTAGGATTTGTGTCATTTTGCATCAGTGAAGTTGTAGACACCACTGTGCTTCCAGGAAGCCCAGCTCTCCCAGTCCAGCCTCACAGGTGGATGTGACCTTTTAAGAAATCATGCAATTAATTTGTATTGAGCTTAAACTCAGTGGTGGATCAAGAGCAGACAGGGCAGGCTCTGCTCGTAGGCATCTGAGTGCTGTTTGTGTGGGAAGCTCTGGATAGCTCAGTGAGCAGCTCTCAGAGCAGAGTGGGTGGGGGAATGTTGGGGTGTGTGTGGTCAGTGCCTGGTGCTGGTGCTGTTCCTCGGGCAGATCTCACCCAGGGGGTGGGTGCTGGTTAATAAAGAGGTTCTGGGTCTTTTTTGTGTTCTTGACACTTGGGGTTTGTCTGGCTCCACGATCTGCAGGCAGGCAGGGTCAGCCCTCAGAGCACTGAGCTGCTGATGAACCAGGCTGTGTGTGCAGGGCAGCAGCTCTGGGACACAGCCCTGAGCACGGTGTGGTGAGTGCTGATGGCCTGCAGCAGCTCTGTGAGCTCTGGAGCTGCATCCTCATCCCTCCTGATACAGAAAAGCCATTGGGAATTGCTGAGGTTGGAAAAGTCCTCTGAGACCATGGGAGTCCAAATGTTCCCCCAGCACTGCCAAGGCCACCACTGCCCCCTGTCCCCAAGTGCCACATCCATGTGGCTTTTCAATCCCTCCAGGGATGGTGAGTCCAGCACTGCCCTGGGCAGCTGTGCCAGGGCTGGACAAACCTTTCAGGAAGGAATTTCCCCAATATCAAACCTAAAGCTTTGTGGTTTAACCTGAGGCCCTTCCCTCTGCTCCTGTCCCTGTGTCCCCTCCTGTCAGGAGCTGTGCAGAGCCACAAGGGCCCCTGGGCCTGCTTTGCTCCAGGTGAGCCCTGCCCAGCTCCTCAGGGATTCTGCAGCCCCTTCCAGCTCCCTCAGGGATTCTGCAGCCCCTGCCCAGCTCCCTCAGGGATTCTGCAGGCCCTGCCCAGCTCCCTCAGGGATTCTGCAGCCCCTTCCAGCTCCCTCAGGGATTCTGCAGCCCCTTCCAGCTCCCTCAGGGATTCTGCAGCC